ATAATATTTTGTACTCTTTGAGATTATTATTACGCCTTGGAAGTTTTAGACTGTACTAGCAAGTACACACATTCGATAAGATATATTTATAGCACTCGAGCTATTAAAAGCCTAATTGACCAGCATTTGGCTTCAATGCTTCTAATGAACCTGTCAGTGATATTTACCTGCTCATGTTTTAAAGGCTAAGCCTAAAAAATCCAAGCAATTTGACAGTGGTGATAATGACACCTTCTTTATCTGAATTTGTTTTATTTTTCTGGATAATTTTATTTTTATTTTTGAAATTTCTGTCCGTAATGTTTTCCTTTTATTGTAGCATATACCTTTTTTTTTGTTGGTTTTTGTTTAATTGCGTAATTTCGTGTAATCAGAGTAAAGATTGGTGACATCATGCACGCCGTTACCATAGTTAAGCTTCCTTATTAACTAAGGTCACACACCAAAATTATTGCTGACTGCGTCAGCCGCAAGTTTTATAAGTTTATAGAATGGTCTTTGTAAAGGATGACTACTCATTTCAACTTATTCTTATACATACAGATTCTAATTATGTAAGCTAGGGTTAAGATAGTTGAGAGAGGTTAAGCCAATTCCCGCATAATTTATTTCCCATTGGTATAAAAATAAGAGATGTGGTATGATTACCAATGAGACTGCTATCAACCAGAGTTCAAATGACGGAGATAAAAACAATCATAGGTCACCGTATACGGCCTTCAACAATGAGGAAAAAACCATACCGTATAGTCGTCTATAAAAGGCATAGGAATGAAAAATGTGAAACAACAAAACTAACGGCCTAATTTATAACAATATAATTTACGAAAAATAAATACGACAGACATGAACCAACGACGAAGGCAATTATCAAATAGACTTTTAGTTTCTACTAAAATTCATACTGATTGCTTCGTGAGTGACTTTCTTGAGTGCAATGTGATACGTTGAAATTGTGAAAAATGTGTATTTTTTTTCCGGACTATTTACAAAGAATATTGTTGTTAATTCGGACAATTTTGGGCTGTCACTGATAAACTGCTCTGCAATAAATTGTCATTACTATATTATATATTATTATAAATCCTAAATAGTACTGTTTTTCCCCATTACTTCAGAAACTAAATATGATTTTATCGAAATCATTTGATTATCAATGTTTGCAAGTCAATCTATTTTATTCACTTTCAAACTGGATTATAATAATTTTAAAAGTTTTACTGCATTTTTTTTAAGTATCAACATTCTTATTGTCAAATTATTTTTATTTATTATGTAAGAATTACTGAACACAAACATGTCTTTTATCTATAACGATCTAATTAAAATTTATAAGATAAAAAGAGAAAATGTGATAATCGATATTTTTGATGGGTATATGTGTGGTTTTTCATGATCGAAACTAGTGTTGACAAACAGGCCATAATCGGTCATCGCAATTAATCGGAAATGTTATAGAATCGATTCCTAAATCAGATTATTATCAAATAAAAATGTCAAATATTATTTTCAATGCAAACGAAAAATGAAAAAAAAAATTAAGATATAAAACTTGAGTTTGTATTCTATCTCATTTATATGACTTACAAGAGCTTGCACTTAAAAAAAATGTAGCCAAAATAAATATAAAAAGTTGAAAGAACTTAGTAACTGTGATTGAATACACTAATATTTGATTACTCCGATTATAGAAGACATAATTGATTATAAGTTTTCTTTGTTTTATTATTTCGAGTCTTTCTCTATGATGTTAAGTTTAAGTTCAGGTCAAAACAATAAAAGCATGGTCGAACACATATGATTTTACAAAGCCACGATAGGGGGTTAAACGAAGTGTTAACCATGCCGATAGTAGCAGACCTGATAATAAAATTCATCCTTTTAACTTCTAACACATCTCTTTCTTTAAATTTTATACATATAAAGAAATAATAATAATAAAAAAAAAAATAACTTATAAAGATCAATTTCTAAATTATTTTGTTTCATAAATAGCTTTACCATAAATACAACTTATTATTAAATAAAAGTCCTTCAAGTGACTTGACTAGTGAGGGATGGTTTTGTAAAAAGTATAAAAACATATAATTTCAATCGTAAATTATTGTATTGTTTTCCATTTCCTCTTTAAGCCAAACGAAGTATGAGAAAATATAAACAGAAACTTACCATAAATCTTATTATGTCAGACTCAACATATATGTCATTTAGATACATACCCAAAATATTTAGCAACGCGATCAATATATGGTTTGGTAAGTTTAAAACAATATCATAATACATTGTGGGCAACAGATTGATAAACAATAATTGATAAACATCTTTCACGAATAAATCCTTCCATTTGCTACACAGGCATATATTTCTGTTTAAAGTTGCGCTATTTAATTGATCAAGAAACATTGTTTCCTCATTACTTCAGAAACTTATATTAGAAGACCAATAGCTCAAAATATAAAAAAAATCGTTTTAGTCTCAAATATGTTAATATGATTGCTCGTTTATTTGAAGAAAGAATAAATACACGATTTAAGTATTCATGAAAAAAGCGTTTGACGTAACATTTGTTAATAAATATAAATACGATTTATTTTGAATTCTAAATATAAGGAGATGTGGTGTGATTGACAATGAGACATATAAAAAAGTATACACCAAAGTCCAAATGATTTCAATGTAAGCAACCGTACTTGTCACCGTGTGGCCTTCAACAATGAGCAATATAGAGTCAGCTATAAAATGCCCCGACGTGATAAAATGTGAAAAGATTCAAACGAAAAAAAAAAAAAAAACAAAAAAAAAACAAACAAACGGCCGGATTTAGGACAAAACAATAAACAAAAACAAATCAATATCATGACAAACATACTTCTGACTGGAGACAGGCACATAAAGATGTGGCGAGGTTAACCATGTTTGTGAGCTTTCGACAGCCCCCTAATATGGAACAGTAGTGTAACAGGACAACATAAAAAATAAATTGTAACTAGAGGCTCTAAAGAGTCCGTGTCGCTCACCTGGATCTTTCTGAATCTTCAACAATAGCCACTCTCTAACATTGTAGACTATAATAAAGTTCATAACTAAAATCCCTTTTTTTTCGTGTCTGACTTATAATTTTTACTGCATACAGTTTCACTTTTTCGTCTATATTTTAACCAGTTAGTATATGTATGGAAAATATACGCAATATTAAAAGTTGTTTTATTTGCCAATATTCCTGAAGTTTATACTTGTGATATTTTGATTAGATAATCTTACACATACGATCAACTTCATTCCAATTTAAACTTTCACCAAAATCAATGCCATGTTACTTAAAAGAATGGTCATAAAAGTCTTCAATAGCTCATAAAATGTCGTTCTGGTTATTAATTATGGGTAGTATACCAGCTGTTTATGTGCAATACGTTGGGAACCTGAGGAAAACTGAGGGAAAAAAAACGAGAACATATACCTTACCTACCAAGCCGAAAGTTTCTGAACGAAAAAATAGTGGGAAATAACGTCTTCTGTTTACGCATGTGGAGTCATATCATCCAAGTTGGCTACCGCCGTAATTTCCGAGGGATGATATAAGCAATTATAGGCCACTGTACGGCCTTCAAAAACGGGAAAACCCCATACCGTAAAGTTCGCTATAAAAGACCGGGACATTAAAGATGAGAAACAGTTCAAACAGGAAAACTAACCGCCTAATCAATAACAAAACAATTTACGAAAAACAAATATGCTAGACATGAACCAACGGCAACCATTGAACTACAGGCTCCTGATTTGAGACAGGCACATAAATAATGTGGCGGGGTTAAATATGTTTGTGAGCGCTCTACCCTCTCCCTTATCTGGGACAGTAGTGTAACAACATAAGATGAGAACAAACTGTAAAAAATAGAAATAAACAAAAACTTTTGCAATCGATTCCTTCACCCGGTACTCTGATATCTCCCTTAAATGAGGTGGGGTATGATTGTCAATAAGACATGTATGGATCTCGTTCTAACTTTGCTGAATAATTGGAACTAAACTCTGAGCAATCAATCAATCACCGTCAGAAAAGGACGAGTACTTAAACAACTATAAGTTACCGTACGGCCTTTCACAATGAGAAACAATAATACCATATAGTAATAGTAAAATACTACTCTGAATTCAGCTAATGGCATTAAGCCAACGACAACCATTGGACTAAAGGTTCTTTACTAGGGACAGGCATGTAAAGAATGTAACGGAGTTAAACATATATAAGCTCTATCCACTTGGGCAATAGATAAACATTTGTATTTCGATTCCTTGTAAATGTCTATGTAATTTTGGTTTTGTATGTCCTCTGAATTTTGGAAAGTTATCACAACATAATATTTTCTCAAAATTAGACCTTGTCAGTACCTTTTTTGATTACTTATGCACAAAGATACACCATGAAATGAACAATGAAATATTTCCGCATATTTCTAAATTCTATATATGTGGGCCTATTTTTCTTTTTTCTTTATTTTTTGGTCTATTTTTCTCTATTCTTTATTTTATTTTGTTAATTTTTGTGTATTCTTTCTTTTTTTGGCGGTATTGGTTCAATATACCCCTTCAAGACCTTCTATTATGCTTCTTGGAAGTATTTTACAAACTGCTCAAAGAAAAATAATCCTTACAGTATTGAATAATTTTCTCCCCTATTTACATTTTCCATCTCATGTTCATACACTGACGTTACATGATCCTATACTACTGTATTTTAATTACTTTTTTATTGTCATAAACAAAAATCATTGTAATTATTGTAAGAAATTTCAAACCCGCAAGGGTCATAATTGGCCAATATCAAAGTTAAAATGCACAAATTTTTATACCAGCCCATCGGCTTATTTCTGTTTTGTACACGTTCTTTCTCCATTAATGATTCTTAGGCTAACTTTAATGTATCTGATTTTTGTCATAGTTAAACAACATTACTGGTAAAGAGAGTCGAAAGATAAAAAAGAGATGTTCAAAGTCGAAAACAAACTGTTAGTGTTTTTATTTTAGACACAAAAACTAAAAAACTAATAAACATGTAGCAGACAAATAAAATATATACAATAAACAGACAGACAAACAAACAAACATACATGTCAACGTCTAATAAAAATAAAAAGCAATGCCATAGTCCATGTTCGTTCCAGTTTGTTACCATTGTCACATTTAAAGAGAGATAAAGTTTGATTATAACAAAACAAAAGTAGAATGGATAATCCAAGATAAATCTCAACATCTAATGTTAAAATCAATTCAAATATAATAATGATAAAAAAGAGTCGTATTCAAAATATACTATAACGAGCATTTTCATTATTTTGGCTGGATCCGTTTGCTGATATAAAAGAGATACATAAAGCTATCTAAAATATGAGGGGTTTAAAAAAAAACCCACACATTTTCATATATAATAGCTTTGTAAGGATCAACAGTCTAAAACAAAGGAATTGCATTACAACAAAAGTAAAGCTTTGCATTACAACACAAAGTCTAATAACAGAACTCACATTAGAGACAAAAGTACAGCACTTACTGCAACAATAAATTTTGTAATCGTGGAAAAATAGCAAATAAAATTGAATGTAAACAAAAAAGAGGAGAAAAGCTTGTATATTTGGATTTCAGTTCACTATGTACTTCCACCGAGCTTCTTGAGAATGCGTTGTTTAAGTGCTTCGTTCCTTCTTGCAGTTAACAGATATTTAAGGTTCCCAAGTTTTCCTTTATCTTCTTTCTTCTGCATAAATTCTTTTTTCTGCATGGAGTTTTTCTTTTGCATGGTTTTTCTGTCGTTTATCTTTTTTTGATACGTTTGTTTTCTGCTTTCTAATGCTACATTTCCGTGACGTTTGTCAGACATGTGGGGATCTCGTTTGGCTTGTTCCATCTTGTGGTCATTCCGCTTTTTATCATGGCGTGCTCTGACAATCTGATAGGCCTTTGATTTTAGATCCTTATTACTTGGCGTCTTACCCATTGATCGTGTGGTGAGTTTTTTCTTCATGTACCCATATGCATAATAGTAATCTGAAGTAAAAATAAACGGGGATCTCAAAAAAGCGGTATATGGTTTTACAGCATGGTTATACAGGGGCAGGGAAGACTTCTTCTAAAACAAGCTCAAACATATCATTTTTCTTTATTTGGACTTTTAAACTTTTTTGATTCGAGCGTCACTGATGATTCTTTTGACGAAACGCGCGTCTGGACGTTAAAAATGTTAATCCTGGTATCTATAATGAGTTAATATCAAAACAGACTTTTTCTTCATCCACAGCTCAACTAAAGACCGCACCAAATAAGAAAATTAAGTATTACATAATCTGAACAATCTTCTGAACTGATATTTGATCGAATAACTAAGTTAATTCATGTTATTGATTTTTTTTACGAATAGCTTTGTTAATAAGTAAGGTGATTTCATTGGTCATTTGGGTAGTGTATAAGTACCAATTATCAGAATGTCTGCATACTGATATCGTAAAATATCAGCTGCGAGTCATAATATGAAGCTTTTTGTCGAGTGAGCGCAGCGAACGAGTTCAAAAAGGCTTCATATTGTGTCGAGCAGCTGATATTTTACAATATCAATATGTAGACAACCAGATAATCGATTTATCGGGTTTTATTTGCGTATTCTGAATTATAGAAACAAGTGTTTTCTTTGTTTCACCAGCAAACCGGAAGATGTCTTGATAAGTTCGGGTCAAATTTATTAACGTCGGTTCATACATTATGACGTCGTTGATATGTTCGGGTCAAAGTTATTAAGGCCGGGTCAACGTATTTGACGTCACAAAGCCGTGAAATGCAATTTTATTAAGAGGTGAGCAGAGTGAGCCAGTGGGACGACCGATAATACGTAGCAACAGCATGTTTACCGATGTTCTAGTCTTGTGAATCCAATTTCAATATGCATTTCAAGACAATACACTAAGGATATAGCTAAATGAGTATTTGAAAGGAAAGTAGCAATAATGATGATACTAATAAATGTTTTAATATCTATTTCTTCAGTTCAAATCATTGTTTGTATATAGATGGATTTTATAAAGCAAATCCGATATTTTCACTACTCAATGACTTTTCAAGTCAACGTTTGACTGGGAGAGATTTAATAATTTAAGGTAAAATAAATGGATATAAATTATTGTAAGGTGAATTCTACAGGCTTCACCTTACCTTCACAACATTAGTTTTGATATCGTTTTCTTGATTAGGTAAGCTTTTTACATTTATAGGTTAGACAATACTTGGTCATGTTTGATAAATATTTAAAGCCTGGGGCGTAGCCGATGGTTTTGAATGTTCATAAAATATGACCAAGTATTATCTGACTAGTTTAGAACATATTCTCACCTCCGAATGACTTTACAAAATTATCCTTTCCCATCCACGGTAGGTATAGTGTCCGGCTGGGATCGTGGTTTTTCGAGTGATTTGATCGTTTTTTTTTCGAGTGTGATCACTTTTTTTCGAGTGAATATGATAAAAATGTTAACAAACAGACTTCCTTTCTGGTAATACGTGAAAAAATGTGCTAGAACCTTATATACAAGATCATAGATGGTAAATTAGTATTTTTGATAAAAAGATATAATCAATCCTAAATTATTTTATTCTAAAAATGTTTATTATAGCCTTACAATGCTTTATTCCAAAATATAGATTAAAGCCATTTTTATACACATAACATTGCAAATGTCAATAAAAATGTGCACATGGAATCTATGTATACTTAGATATACAGACACTTTACAAAAACTCTTGCTTTTGCATTGAAAAGGACATTTTGGAGAGTAAATTCATTTTTATATGTCCGTGTCCATTTACTATTTGTCTTGATGGAAATATTAAGTATCTTGGTGTAATCAGGAGTGTACAGAATTTTACATCGGTGTTGAAAATAAACACCCTGAGGCGCAGCCGATGTTCGTATGCATTTTCAACACCGGTGTAAAATTCCGTACACCCCTGACTGCAGCGAGATAACGAATTTATATCTTATTTAGCGTTCGTTTCTTTTTTTTTTATTCCGGGTAATAAAGTTGAAAAAATCTTATAACCAACTTCCACTACACATTTTTCAACACCGACGTTGCTGTGCATTTTTCAAATATTATCTCTTTATTTTATTTTTTAATAATATTTGAGGAAAATTTGAAAATTTTATTATTTGGGGTATATTGGAGAATATTTTTTTTCTTCACTTGGATTTTTTTTTTGGCCAAAAAATTGAATATTTTATTTTTGTTTAATCTAAATAAAAAAAATCAATTATTATTTTATCCAATTTTGGCAAACATTTTATTTTTTGGAAATCTTGGTATATTTTTTTTTATCCCCTGGTGAACTGAGGTGGGGTGTTATTTACACCCGGGTAATTAGCCAATCAGGTGGCCTGTTGCAAGGCAAAATTTCTGTCCTTATCCCATATACTCTCATTTTTAGTGGCAGTCTAAATTTCCCGACTTTATCCCGAACGTCCTCTGTTACAGGACCTACTTATTGGATGTATTGTTAATTTGTTCTCGTATTGAACATGCACGACCCATTTGCCACTGGACGTTAAGCAACCAACAATGAATCATTTAGAGTTGTCCGTTTATAAATTTAAAAATTATAAAGAGGCTAAGGTTTCAACTCCATCAGGCAAAGTTGACCTTAAACTGATTTGGCTATTTTTTAGGTCCTTTTGGTCATACAGCGTAAAATAAATTATAAAGCGTTGTTTTTTATTAGATACTCCATTCAATTCAAATGTTATTGTAATTAATTTTTATTGGGGGGGGGGGGGGGGTCCTCTTTTTGTAGAATATTTGGGTTTATATTGAATTTTTCTGATTGTTTACCCTTTTTCCTTAGTTTTCTTGCTCCTAAGTTTTTTCGTCACTGTAATATATATCAATCATAAAATATTATTGACTATAAAAACAAAGGTAGCCTGCAATGAAATAAAAAAAAAATTATGAGTCCCTGTACTCGGTTCTTAAGACATATTTAAAATGGACGTCACCCATATGCATTGATTTCTTATATATCGTACTAATACTGCTAGGTTATGGTATAAAATTGAGAATGGAAATGGAAAATGTGTCAAAGAGACAACAACCCGACCATAGAACAGACAACAGCAGAAGGTCACCAACAGGTCTTCAATGCAGCGAGAAATTCCCGCACCCGGAGGCGTCCTTCAGCTGGCCCCTAAACAAATATATATACTAGTTCAGTGATAATGAACGCCATACTAAACTCCAAATTGTACACAAGAAACTAAAATTAAAAATAATACAAGACTGACAAAGGCTAGAGGCTCCTGACTTGGGACAGGCGCAAAAATGCGGCGGGGTTAAACATGTTTATGAGATCTCAACCCTCCCCCTATACCTCTAGCCAATGTAGAAAAGTAAACGCATAACAATACGCACATTAAAATTCAGTTCAAGAGAAGTCCGAGTCTGATGTCAGAAGATGTAACCAAAGAAAATAAACAAAATGACAATAATACATAAATAACAACAGACTACTAGCAGTTAACTGACATGCCAGCTCCAGACTTCAATTAAACTGATTGAAAGATTATGTCTTCATCATATGAATATCAGGCACAATCCTTCCCGTTAGGGGTTTAGTATCATACCATTATAACATATATGAGAAGAACATAACCCGTGTCATGCCAACAACTGGTTTTTAAATAAATGTGTTTAGTGCCGATGCAAAGACCCTATAAGTGAATCAATATTAACGCCAAAATATGCAATCTTTAATGACCTGACAACAGTATCGTAACTATATCCCTTCTTAATAAGTCTATTTAAAGGTTTTGTTAGCTTCAGAGGTGAATACTGACATTTTTGTGCTTTATAAAGAATATTTCCATAAAAAATTGGATGTGAAATACCTGAACGTATAAGAAGTCTGCATGTTGAGCTATATTTACGAATGATGTCCTTATACCGATGAGTAAAATGTTTTCTGAACAGAAAATTGTCATTGAATTGAAAAAAAGGTTAACTTTTATCAACATTATAATATGTTTTGTGTGTAAATTATTTCGAATATATAATATTGTCCTTCAATTAATTACAGTTATAAACTAGAAAAGTCAGTTTTAACTGTTGCTCTCGAAAAAAACACGGACAATGCAAAACACTGAATTTTTGGTTAAATACTACGAAATTGTGCGTCTGTTGTGCTCAAAACATGTATAGTATTCAAAATAAGATGGACAGTCATGAATAAAACTATTATAATTGCGAAATAGCAGTTAAATGACTTGATCGCATGTTTAATCACTCGAAAAAAACCCGATCTATACTCGAAAGAAGTGGACCGATTCACTCGAAAAAACACGATCTCCGCCGGACACTATACCTACCGTGCATCGTGATAATCAAATCTCAATATGAGGATAATATCGTATTTAATTATCATTTCAACAGATGGAACGAAATAGCACGGAGATAGTGTTGTGAAGACAAAAAAAATGATAAAAAGGGGCATTTTTCTGTTTCAGGTAAAATTAATACTTATAATATCTAAAATTCCTTCATTTTAAAAAGGACGAAAATTGTATTCAAACATAATGAGTAAATATTAGAATAACAATCGTTCAAACATCAGATGCCTACCTTTTTATTTATGAATGTATTGTTTTTTCTCAAAAAAAATTCCTTTGCTTTATATATCAACAGTCCTTGTATCTTAGAAGAAAATAATTAACGAAAAACGAGTGTGCCAGACATGAACAGACAACAACCACTGTATACTCATGATAACATATATAACGGTTTTTTACGATTGCATATTTGCACTGTTATGTCCCTAATGTTGTAGACATGTGCATATATACTTTGAAACTGTATTCGTCTTATGTTATCTTTGAAAGTTTGTTTTAATCAATTATACCTACATAGTATCATAGGTGATTTCAAAATTAGATGTGAAATATGTTTACCTCTGCAAAAATCGTGGCTCGCAACACTTGAATTGGTCTCATACCCAATACAGATGTCATCAATGCTGACAAATCCATTCCCTGAAATAAAGGTAAATTTAATTGGAAAGTAATTATCCTATCTCATTCTATGTCACCAATAATGGAATCCGACATCGGAAATAAAGATTGATTGGTTGCTGGTTGCTCAATGTCCAGTGGCAAATAGTTGATGCATGTTACGGAAATAAAGATAACTTTACCTTGAAGATAAAAGAGAAACAAATCAGATCCTTTCATTATCTTTCTCAAATGCATAATTTTGTTTCAAATGTCTAAACCTATCATTTGTTATATATACTGACCACAGGTGCTGACATCAGAGGGGTTATGGGTTGATGACGCATAAAACATATCGCCTGTAAATATATGAAAAACACATGACATAATTTCTCAGTTAACCACAGATTTTCACTCTAAACTCAAACTGTTACTGAAATTAAGATATGCAGAACATTGGAGTTTTTAACATTTCAATGAACCATAAAACAGACCTAAGATTGTTTAGGAATTCCTCATAATTAAGTGTTTAACGGTAGGAGTATATGTTGAATTATTAACAGCTATTTCTCTTATCATGCAGTTAAAATAATCTGTGGTACAAAATATAACTACTGGGGTTTTGTCTGCGGAGTTAACGACATGTTTGTCGTGCAGGCAGATTAGTTGCTTTTCAACATTTGGGTTGAAGAATGATGAAGCACGAGTATTCTACCATGAACATTTCATTCTGGGTTGAATTGTATGAAACTCCTCTGTGGTGTGAAAAAAATATTAGATATCTATTTTATTAGATATGATAAGTTATTTATCCCTAACTACCAATAATAAATCATCAGAACAACTCAAAAACAGTTATTTATAGATAATCAATGATAGTTTATTTCAACACCGAGATGTCAACTATAAGGCCGACAATACCCCGCGGGATGAAACGTCCACTAGCAGTGTCATCGACCAAATCCCCTCATCCATCTGAATTAGAACCACCAACCCAAACTCAACTATTACAGTAGTAAAACTGAAGGTTGAGGTTTTTGTACATTTTATAATATTCACATTATTCTTAAACATCGCTTTTATCCATCATTTGATATCTCAAATAACATACCACACCACATCTCATCTTCACCATCAGCGCATTCCCATGAGCCGTCACACCAATAAGCACACGTAGAACCATCGTTACAAGTCGATTGCATTGGATCAGAACAACCTATGAAAATTTTAGATTCAAAAATATTTGTGTCTTGAAACCGAGTGGTCAACCATTTGTTGTAAGTCATTTATCAATCAAATAAGTATACTTAAACCATTGTCGTGACGTCAGCCTATTCATTTACAGAGGATTCTTTTTCTAGAATCAACGCTTCCTAAATCTGTCGCTGAAATGGACTCACCAAGTTATATTCAAATGTTTCCTTTCTGTGCCTAACTTTATTTAGAATATAGCGTTAACGGTGGCAATGTTACTGCACCAGTAAACTTCATCTTATTTGATTTTTTGGTTTGTTTCAAAATTCAACTTTTAGACAGTTTTAATCACAAATCCTTTCAATCTGATAAATGTGCATCGGGGCAGTTGTAACTCATTTATAGAAACTCTTTGTTTTGAACTGTAAGTAGACCTAAACAATTATAGGATAATCCCTTACGAAGAACACGACTTACATTCATTCTTCACAATTAAGAGACATCAAATCCTACAATTTCATTGGTCGAGAGCACTTTGCTTTATTCTAAGTTTTGAAAAGACATCAACACATTAGTTTAAGTTATAGATACAATGGATAAGCGTTGATTCATGAAAAACAAACCATTCACCCTCCGGGCTCATTGTTTCTTTTTCAAGAATCAACGCTTATTTATTGTATCTATACTACATATTCACTTGTTTATTCAATCAGTAATTGTATCTTTAACAAACAGATTTTGATATTAACTATATATTTTTGTTTAAAATATATGAGTAATCTATAGAGTCAGTCACCAAAATTCAATTTGCTTTTAGAAAGTATTTACAATGAGTTAATAAATTGCTAGAATGGTAAAAAACAACATTTTCAAAACACATACCATACATATTCATGTCACACCACATCTCGTCTTCATCATCTGAGCATTCCGGATGACCGTCACACCAAGTAGCGCATGATCCATCCATACATTGCATTTGAAGTGGATCAGAACAACCTAACAAAATTGTAAGAATGTAGCCATATATATTTATGTCTAATAAACCAATCAAGTAAGGAAACTCATAATATATCTTTAGATATCTTAATCTTTCATCCTTATCTAGCTTGACTAAAATCTAATCAATAAGTGTTTAACATATCATAAAAGCATACAAGACAATATGTTGACCGGTTGTAGATATCTGTTTTGTATGACTTTCTTCTCCTTTGTATTCATTTGATAGTACACTGGTTAGAAGAGGAAAGTATAAAGGATGATACGACAATAGAAACGAACAAGGCATACTCTTTGATAAGTAGGTAAAATAAAGATTTTGTATATCGTTTTGAATATCGTAAACTATTAGCTCTAATTCACAAAAAAAATAAATTCTGAGAGACAGGTCAAGACCCTCGGGTTGGTATCATTCTAAAACTGCTGTAAGGAAAGAATGGTGATTGATATATCGGATTGCATTGTAATCATAGTATTCCTTATCTTTTCAATTTATCGAAGGTAAATTGCCATATTATGTTCACTGTCAAACATTTTTAATTAAGATCAAATCAGTTTCACATAGTATTACAAAAATATACAGATGTGGTATGATTGTCAATCAATCAACTTTCCAAATTATGGAAATAAAAGTAATTATAGGTCACCGTACAGCTTTCAACAATAAGCAAAACTCGTACCAATTTCTCAAATTGTCCCCTCAACATAGTGGGGAATTAACTTTTCAGTGTTCGGGAAATTATATTTTCTTCAAGCGATCGGGAGTTATGTTCAATGTTTTATTTGATTAGGTTTTTCATCCGAAGATTAAAAATCATAGTTAAATATGTCACAATGAACGCTTATTAGGAGCTATCTCCTTTGAAATTGTATCGACTCCTCTTAAGTCGGGGACAAGTTAGAATCAGATTTGTCAAGGCCATGACAAACACGCTTTACGTCAAGCCAAGCAGAAACATACAGGCACATCATAGTTAGTTTGGTACACTTCGATAACAATTATACACTGACTTTAAAGGAATATGGGATAGAGTGTTTGATAGATTTTTAACAGAAATGGTTACAAATTGATTGATTGATTGTTGGTTGCTTAACACCCAGTGTCCTCTACAAATTGATATATTGATAATTTGTAATTAAAATATACAAACGTATCATTTGTAAAAGTATATATTTGATAATTGACACTCAGAAAAGTATTCAATAAGGTTTTGTTCACTTTGAAAAGTGCATTTCAATTTGACATGCCACTTACCACACCATTGCTCATCTTCACCAGTAGCACAGTCCACTGAACCGTCGCAATAAGTACCACATGAGGTTCCATCATCACAATGACCTTGATTTGGATCAGTGCAACCTATAAAGAAAATATCATTACTTAGTTTTTGAGTGGTTTCATCAGTATGTAGTAAACAAATAAATCATCAAAAGCACTACACTTACATTTTTTAATTACAATTTTATAGTTAAAGTATAAGAAGATAATTATTATGTCGGCAAAAAAAGAAAGACAACACAATGACTAAATCAGAGAAAAGAAAAGAATTACAAAAAGAATATTGACAGAAAAGTTGAGATTGATAAATAAAAACGAAGTCAAAACCGGGGAGGACAAAAAATAAAGCAATTCCTTGCTCTCCAACTGACAATTATCATGTTGCTCGGCTTAAATCTCAACGATCTCGCACTCCGGCTTTTGAATATGTGCCTAAATAGCATTTAAGTTTGATGAGAGTTATTACTTATTCGGACAAGTATTCCTGTTCGAAACATTGAAATGCAATCGATTAAATAAAAAATAAGATTGCTTCATACCTCGATTTTTGAAAAGTTTCAACTTAATAATCGAGCACTGGCAAATACACAAATGGAACCTTATTGGTAGTCTACAAACAGCAGTACCTTCCCAATAGCAATAACATTACTTTTTATACCATGAGCCAGGACGTCATTATCTGTTAAAACCTGAAATATAGTCGAAACAAACAAACAAACAAACAAACAAACAAACAAAGTGTAACAAACAAACAAACAAACAAACAAACAAACTAACTGACAAAATGTATATAGATAAAGACAATAGTAGTATACCGCTGTTCAATAGTCATTAATCGATTTAACTGAAACAAATCTGGGTCACAAACCAAAACTGAGGGAAACACATCAACTATAAGAGGAAACAAAACGGAACAACAGAAACACTGAACTGCTACAAAAACAAACGCCAACATACATGGAAACGGACTATGTGATAACAACTGCCATATTCCTGAGTTGGTACGGGACATTTTTAGAAAAAATGGTGGATTGAGCCTGGTTTTATGGCTAGCAAAATCTCCCGCTTATATGGCAATGTTAAAAATACCGCTAAAATGACAACATTACGTGACAGGAATACAGTACAAATAAATGCAAGAACATTCAGGACAGAGAAATACATAAATAAATAATATAAAAGTACATTTCAACATGTAAACCACAGAATAACAACGAACACCTAAAATTAATTTACGACAGAACACAGATACAGCACAATAGAATAATGAACTAGGCGTCACTTGTTGATTAACTTGATATAGATAAATACATACCGCACCACTTCTCATCTTCTCCGTTAGGACAAGTTGCTGTACCGTCACATGGAGTTGCACATTCTGTACCGTCATCACAGTGCCATTGGCTAGGATCGGAACAACCTATTAAGTAAGTGTTTAGTATCACTCGACCTTTATTCACCTACTATTTTATCGTGGTGTTCGTTTTGCTTTAGTTTTTGCATAGTGTTTTGTAGATGTAATTGTTTTTTCGTTGTTTTCTTTTTTGGTCATGGTATTGTCTATAACTTTTCGTTGACTTATGATTTCTTATTGGCCTTTAGTATTTTGTCCCCTTTGAACAAGGAAGAGAATGGATGATGCCTTATGATAATAATCTAGTTAAATTTCAAGAACATTTATTTTCCTGACCATATACGTATACCATATTTTATGTGCATTTTAATATTCATTATCTTGTTAATTAACTTAATATAGATAAAAACATACCGCACCACTTCTCATCTTCTCCATTAGGACAAGTTGCTGAACCGTCACAAGAAGTTGCACATTCTATACCGTCATCACAGTGCCATTGGCTAGGATCAGAACAACCTATCAAGAAAATATATAGTATTACTCGACTCAGTGGTGTCAGTATGTAGCAGTGAGTTCATTCTTGAATTAATGCTAGTCATATATGACCCATCATGACATTTCTTGTCTAATGAAAGTGTAACGTTATTGTTAGAAAAGGGATGTTTAAAGTGAACGTAATGTTACAAAATTTATTGGGTTAAATTGATAGATTTCTATAATTGATTTCAAGTTTGAATGTTTTTCAAATTTCATTTTAAATAAAAATATATAACATTTTTATTTAGAAAAAAGAATATTTTGCTAATACGGTAACTTTTTGAATCCAGAAAAGTCACTATGTCGAAAACTCCATCGGCAAAATGTGTTTGGACCTGATAGAATATAGTATCGAGTATGGTGACGGACTGCGTACTGGCAGATAAAAGGTAGGATTTATGTTTACCTATTTGCGATTTGTATGAAATTGTAGAATACACATATTACTACTTTCAAATGTGAGATGTAACATTTTCTACAACTGATTTAGATTAATAGAGAAATAAGAAATAATTCACGGCAAAGCGATGAATAAAGTAACCCTATCATTTTGTACATCAAATTGTTAAATTTCTAATTAAACTGCGCACATTGTACGGATAGAAACTTTTATAGATTAAGATTGCAAAGTTAGTCACTTGTGGCACCTCTAATATTTTTATTTTGTCAAAATGGTGGCACCCGGTTGTTGCGCAACAATTTTTGTAAGCGGTCATCTTATTATTTATTTGAATCCGTAAACCCTTGAATTTCTGCTTTATTTGAAAAAACATAATTTTTATAATGAATCGCATGAATAGTTCTTTATACGATTTTCGATATAAAATGTTTATGAATTATTTTTTGAGTACAACGAAAAAAGGTAAATACATTTTATTAAGTAGTAATTAAAGTCTTTGTTCTTCCAATATAAAAGAAATATTTTGCCTCATACATTTATATGTGTTTTAAAGTGGATGTAATACTTTATGATAAATAATGTCACAATACATGCACTTATGACGTCTTAAAAGAAAAACACGTGTTAATGGAAAAATAGAGATTTTGGCCCATTTTCGAATGTGTTCTGACATGAAAGCACTTGAAAGTCCATTGTCCTTATTAGATATGTAGAAAGTTTGTAATGACCAACCTATGTGCCTTAAACCTCAAATTGAATTTGGAGACCCTCTTTAAAAATATTTGGGAAGAGATTCTTCTGACCTTGACTCAGTCGACAGGTCTTGGGATCAGACATCCATTAGTATGGCTGGACATTGTAAAACAAAGATTTAATCCAGAAACAAAGATTCTGATGAAATTTCAATCTATATATACATGTACCTGTCATGTGTTATGTATGGTTGCTTTAGTTTTTTAAAATTATGAAACCGTTTGTTCGACCAACTCGCAAAAGAAAAAGGACATTCTTAAGACTTGACTCCCTCCTTAATAGAATTTCCAATAGGGTTTTCTCTCTTATAAAGAGGTTCTAGCCTTTCCTCGAAACATTTCTAAAATCTTACCAAAACGTATCGAACGTATCGAAAAAAATCGCGCCTTCAGAGTTCGAAGTTGAGTTTTACCGTTTAGAAGACCTAGGTAAAAGATAAACAACTAAAAGGCACGATTTTAATTGTATGACTATAGCAAAACGAGGTAAATACATTATATTAAGAAGTAATTTAAGACTTGGTTTCTTTCCATATAACAGTTACATTTTCGTAACAATTATTCCAGATGCCTGGTGCTTATCTAAAAACGGATTAACTTCCGAAACAGTTTCTTCAGAGAAAAATTGCCTCATCACACACAATAAATCATCTGAAAAATTGCTTGAAAGGAGTACATAGTAACTAAATATAGTTTTTCTTCTAAAATAACTCAGGAATTAGATATTTATAAATAAGTGTTCGTTGTTATAACAATGGTTTCAGGGACTCTGTGAATTACCATAAATCAAGGCAACAGTAGTTTACCGATGTCCAGATCTCATAAATATATTAAACAGACAAATCAAGTAACAAACAAAAACTGAGAGAAGTGCTAGAACTCCAAAAGGAGTGAGAACGGATGTGTCGACTGTTTAATCGTCGACTACTTAAATCACCATGTTTGTCATAGATTCTATTTTGAAGTCGTCCATATGTGTGAATATCGAGGAAAAGATCAAGATATGGAGCAGATATTTCTGTTATATTCTTTATCTCAAGTTAACTGGTATCTATGACATGAAATCTGAAACATAAAACAGTGTATCCTCAGAAACAATGGGTTTGGAAACAACTTACCACAAAACATTTCATCTTCACCATTGTGACAATCATTTATGCCATTACAATGCGATGCACATGTAATATTATCGTCAGAACAAAGGTACTGATCGTAACTACAACCTACAAAAGGGAATAAATTATAAATGTCTAATGAATTAAACACGTCATTATACTTGTATCAACAATATGTAAGGTACATATTTTGTAGTCTGTACATAAAAAAAATATTGATAACGTTTGATCAGCAAAGAATACATCTTAATCAATTTTATTTCATAGATTTATTTTTCACACACATTACATGGCTGAAACTTCACTCACGTAATAGTTTGATGAACTTCACTGAAACCTCTGACGTTTTGAAGCTACTGCTGAGGTAACCACTGTGAATTGCACACGTAGTAAATTAGTGTAGGTAAAACATCGTGATATATCGACATACAACTGACTTTCACGTGTGAACATTGTTCTTTAATTATACTTAAATTTCCAATTATTGGGTGCAAAAACTAGATTTTGAAAGTTTTGTAGAAGACCTTCACTAATTATCCTTTTCAAAACTATTCCTCCTTTCTTATCTTTACCCCTGTTACTTTGTACAATGTTTGTTTGCAACAAATCTTTAAGTAACACTTTAAATATAATATCAGTCGTAAAGATGTGCCCAAATTATCCACTGGTATATCAAACCTTTACTCTCTAATTTCATAGAATTCTAACTTTAATATGCTGAACAGCCTTTCAAAAACCCTAGTTTATCGATTTACAATTTCACCAAATATTCAAGGATACTATGTACAATTTCTTCAAAAATAAACGATAAATTACCCATGTCCTCATTACTATAATGATAATTATATTAAAGAGAGTAGGAAAATACCAAAGGTATATTCAAACTCATAAGTCGAAGATAAAGTGACAACGCCATTTCAAAACACGAAATACGGCAAGAAGTTAGACAACAGTCAACGAAACATAACATAGAAAGCATATGACTGACGATCACAAACCCTACCAAAAACCGTGAGGGATCCTAGGTGCTCCACATGGGTAAGCAGATCCTGCTCCATATGTGACCCCCGTTGAGACTCAATAGATATCATAGTGCATTCAGCATGTTTTAAATTGTGAATTCATGATAATTATGCAGCAATATCAAAAGAATAAATGATGGAAAATTGATTTGTTTGGATAGACATACATAGTTTCTCCAAAGATTTTCATATAGCACGGTGCCCTCATAATGCGTGATTTGATATTGCAAAAAACAGATTCTGAAAATTTAAAAATAGAATACAGTTTTCCATTAAATCCATTAAATTTATATTAAATTGTAATTGTAAATTCAATTTTCTCACTAGTTTTCAAAATTACGAAGTTATTCTTACTGTATTGTCGTTTTAAATTCTTCTCTAAAAGTCGTATGAACTCCGGACTAAGCGACACAGCCAATGGTATAACTGATAAGAAAATCACAGCAAACATTACACGCATTCCCATTGTGCAGCTGAAACCAAAGAAAAAATATTTATATCACATGCACCCGTAATTAGATATCTTGATAAATATTGTTTTGATAATTGCAATTTTTCAGAGCCTACCCACATACCCCCACAAAAAAAAAAATTAGAAAAAAAGACGAAGTTGGGTTTAAGACGACAAAAGACAAACATCAGTCTGCAAAACAAAACATAGAAAACTAAAACAATACGAAACCCACTAAACACTGGGGTGATCTCAGTGCTCCCCTAGGCCTTAAAAATATACATGGTTGCAAATTACTTTTGTTGTTATTTAAAAAAAAAACTTTCAAAAAATGGATTCGAATCCTTTGATAAACTATTGTAAATAGATATTTGGCCACCACGTTTACAAAAATATATATGATTGCTTTTTACCCTTGTTTAAGTGAGCGTCTGAGAGTCTTCTCGGAAATAAAAAAATGAAATAGCCAAAAACAAATAATTATTTTACAAAAGCCTGGTCAATATGTTTAAAAATATATATGATCGCTTGGTATCTTTTAAAAAATTTGGGATATGAAAGTCTTTCAAACATTTATCAGAAGCAAACCGCAATACATTTTTCCATATCAAAGCTTTGGTCAGTGTGTTTCGAAAATATATAGTTTGTAGATACTATTCTTTAAAAGTTATGGGTCTAAAATGTGTTTAGGAAATTTCTCAAAATTGTAATCACATGTTTTAAAAATCTTTTTGTAAAGTTCAGGTCAGAACATATCCAAATATATATTGTCACCATGTGCTATTCCAAATCATTATTTTTCTGGCATACTTCAAGGAGAATGACCAAACTGGGATTCGTATCCTCGGAATCCAATTGTTTAATATGAAATATTGGGTCAATATGTTTTAAAAATATTATGAGTTCTAGTTATCTTGCTTCAATCATTGTGGTCCGAGGAGTCTTTCAGGAAATTAATCAAAATGAGAATAAAATCCTTTTGGATTGAAATAAATGAAATAGAACAAAAAAATAAAAGGATAACATAAATGGATGAGTGGCAGTCAGAATCGATGAGTCAGAAAAGGACAAACTATGATCTAGTAAAAAAACCAACCAAACAAATGTAAACATTTAACATTTTAATGAAAACATAAAACAACCTATTATATGTTAACTTCTACGTCATTTAGTCTCTGATTGAGAGTTGTCTCATTGGCAATCTATTTTTATACATCATTATACCTTCAATTAAAGATTGAGCAACATAAGTTTAAATCGCGGGTAAATATAGTTGTAGTACAAAGTAGTTTTTCTCTACCGCTTTTGGAAAAACACGTCCGTCTGGCTAATAAGTGACTAATGCCTTTCAGAATACCTGATGCAGTTAACCAATTGATGATTAATACGAGGCTTATAGTTGAGTATGTCAAACTTGTGCGTCATCTACAAAAGTCTGATCAGCGGCACTCGAAACAAAACAGTTCGAAGGTCAAATCAATAACGAAGTCAAAGATCATATCTTAAAACAAATAAAAAATACCAAAAATTGAGCGAGACCTTGGCAAGACCATTTTTACCCGTGGAAGAAAAACATCAGTGTTTCGAACGGCGTTAACAGTTTATTAACAGTAAATTTACAGAAAATGCCAACAATACGTAATGTCAGCACAAGAGTAATGACTTCTTGGCTGGTGATGCGAGAAATGTGCACATAACACTGCAGAAGGTTTATATTTCATACATCAATGACAATAGATATTACAGATTATCCAATTTCATATGAACTTTAACAAGGCCCAACTAGTTTGATAAATTAACGATTGTCAAAAAAATGTAAATCTTAAGTGAAATTCCGGTAGGATCTACTGTTATAGTAACAAAAGAAAAACTCAGTCATCAGACAATACTTAATGTACGAATAATTTAGCAAGTAATGGTGTACGTTTATCAGACATTTAATGAATGTTAATTCAGTTCACAAGTTTATATTTACATTATGAAAAAAAAGTCATTAATAGAATTTGCATTGGTTTTATATATTTATTGATTTTAAATTATGAGTATAATAACAATCTTTAAATATCCCTTTAATTATGACGGAATAAATGTGAAAGTACTTTATGAAAGACGATCTCGTCCCTTAACTTCAGATTACTGATTTATTGTTTGCATGACACCCATTGTTCGTCAAGAGATATATTTCGGTGAAGTTTAGGTACGATCTTTTCATGTACAATAAGAAAAGTTAAAGTACGAATAATTAAGCCAGAAATGACATACTTTTCATCATACATTTGATATATGTCTATTGAAGTTCATTCACATACAGTGTGGAGTAAAGAACATTTTTTATATATTGATGTATTTTCAGCTAGCTATAAAACCAGGTTTAATCCACCATTTTATACATAAGGAAATGCCTGTACCAAGTCAGGAATATGACGTTGTTTTCCATTTGTTTGATGTGTTTGAGCTTTTGATTTTGCAATTTGATAAAGGACTTTCCGCTTTCAATTTTCCTTTGAGTTCGGTTTTTTTGTTATTTTACTTTTCACTATGCGTGTTATGTCAAACTTAAATTACAATTGAAACTCAAAATTCCATGTACTGAAATAAATAGATGTAAGCTTATATAGAAATATGGAGATGTGGTATAATTGCCCAAAAGATACCTATACATAAATATTAAAAAGACAAAGATGTGAACAATTACAGGTTATCGTCTGACCTTCAGCAATCAGCAAAATTCGTATGCCAAGCTATAAAAGGATCCGATATGAATAAATATGAACAAAGCAAAAGAGATAATTAACGGACTTATTTATACAACAATGATCAAGGAAAAACACAAACAACATTCAAAGAGGACAACTAGATTAAAGGTTCCTTGGTTGGAACAGTAACATATAGAAAGGGGCGGGGTTTATTATTTTTACTCCCTTTTCATAAAACAATTTCGATTTAGAAGATTGGATCTATGGGTCTATCATTTTAATAACTTAAATTCTAATATTTTCTAGTTTTGCCTGCAATTTAATTTTAGTACCAGTGGAACATTTGATCAGATTTTTTAAAGTCATTCTTTCAGAAATGCTATATACATGAATCATGCTCTAACAAAACAGAGCATAAGATAAAAACTAGATTTCTGAATCGTGAACATGGAAACGTATCGTCATCATTTCTTTATAACTACACATTAGCCTGTCAATCAAATTTATACACTCTCAATATGTACACAATATTTGCCACGGAATGTTAAGCAAGATATCAATTAATCTATCGATTAATAATAACGAATTTGTCATTTCTCAACCAATTTCCTTAATCGGTCGATTCTTATTTCTTATGACGGGAAAAGTTTATACAAATAAAATAAATAAAACAACTTTTATTATAATGCCTGTATGAAAAAGAGAAAAAATCTGCTTGAAATTTGAAATGTATTTGATTACAAGTGTGTCCACTGCAAAAACAATTGACGAAATTGACCTATTGGCAAATGACATTCTCGGGGCATAAGTGTATAATTAAGGTGGTCTTACCCCAGTAGTAGCAAATCAAACGAAAAACAACCTTTTATTGAGTTTGGTTGTGTGGGCAGATATTATTTCCCGTTTGATTTTCTTAAAGGGCTATATAATATTGCCTTGCTGTCCATCGTAATCAATTCTTAATCATTTTAAGAAAATCTTATGATGCTAGGATCAAGCTTAATTAGCGTTTAATTATATACCTGAGTGAGGAATACTCCACCAGTTGAGTTAACACAAATATAAAAAAAACTACTGCTCTGAAGGCTTTTTTCTAGATTGAACTTGAATTAACCTTAATCTCTAGGAAAAGATAAAACGTTGATACAAATACAGTTTATTTACATATTACCTTGCAACTCAGTCCATTTATAAAAAATAAAATAATAAAAAAAATAAAAATAAGAATAGGTTTTTAATAATTTTTTTATAAATATATGATATGTCAAAAAATCTTTTCTACCACAACATTATTTTACCTACAAAATGCCTTTAAAAAATATAATCGTAATTTTTTTTCACGAAATAACGATTATGTATTTATGAAATGTAACACTTGCGCTTTGTGAAATGCATTTTAAATATGTTTGCATTTAAATAACCTCCTTCTTTCTAAAAACTGTTCTTTTAAAACGAAAGGTTCTAAGTAGTGCCCAATTTTTTTGCTACTTTGAAATTTATTTTTTGATAAGGATAGCATTTATTTTCGACTCCCAATTCTTGTAAAGTACAATTTCAGTATTTTGTTGTTATTTTGTTTAATTCCATTTAAAAATCCTTACGTTCAAAGTGGAAAAGTCTATCATTTTGAATTTAAAAAATAAAACGTTAAACTGCTTACCTAATGATAAATGGCTGGACCTACGATATAAACTCTTCAACCATAAAACTTGCTTTATAAAGTGTACATCACGTGATCTTAAAAAAATAAAATTGAGAATGGAAATGGAGAATGTGTCAAAGAGACAACAACCCGACCACAGAACAGACAACAGCAGAAGGCCACCAACAGGTCTTCAATGCAGCGAGAAATTCCCGCACCTGGAGGCGTCCTTCAGCTGGCCCCTTAACAAATATATATACTAGTTATAAATATATATGCTTACCTAATGATAAACTATGAATTAACTATTCAACCATACAACCATAAAAGTGTTCATTACGTGATATTAAAAAAATGATATGCTAACCTTATTATAAATGGCTGAGCCTACAATATATATATATATATAAATATATACGTATTTTTGTGTAATGTGATAAGTACATGAAATGATGTTGCAAAATTTAAATTTAAAAACATGAATTAACTTGAAATCCTTTTGATTAGAAATGAGGATATTTGCAAGAAAAAACATGAAAACTTAGTATTTCGATATCGACTATTAAGAATCGACCTAAATTCTGACACTCATTGTTATTGCCTATGACGTTGGTGCTGAAATATCTAACGGTATGTACTATCAACGACAAAAACGTTTTTGTTGACGTCATTGTCAGACTTCGGATGCATGTAATTTATAAAGTGTTGTATTCATTTTTGACTATCTACTACACCTTTTGTGTTGGCGTCTTTGTAGATTAATTTTATGTTTGTTTGATTTTTTTAGTCAGTTGTGTTGTAAGTCTGTGATGTAATTTTACACAGTTTTGGCTGCTGGATCAGAATTATTGTCACATTTATTGCAAGCCAAAGTGGACAAAAAGAGCTATTTTTTAATATTAGAAAATAAATATTTGATATTAAAAAATTCGTAAGGGTTCCGCGGAACCCAGTGTCTCGCCTACTTTTTCTGTTAATCGCAGGCTCAACAAAAATGAGGAAGTAAATCAATAAAAATATTCCTCTTGATACTATCTTTTGATTGAAAGAAGCTTCTGTCCAAGTTTGGTAAAAATCCAGGATAGTTTATGAATCTAATAAATGTTTAAAAACTTTAACTGCAGACTGAATGTAATGTTAACTGGAAGAAAACAAAATTTCCCTCTAGATACTAGCATTTGATCATAAACAAGCTTCTGTCCAAGTTTGGTACAAATCCAAAATAGTATAAGAAAGTTATTAAAATTTTAAAAACTTTAACCACAGAGTGAATATGTTGTTTCCTGGCAGAAAATCTAAGTCCATTTAAAAGTAAAATACGGAAAAAATGGATTTATTTTTTTACAAAATTTTCTTCTAGATACTAGCTTTTGATCATAAACAAGCTTCTGTCCAAGTTTGGTACAAATCCAAAATAGTATAAGAAAGTTATTAAAATTTTAAAAACTTTAACCACAGAGTGAATGTGTTGCTTCATGGCAGAAAATCTAAGTCCATTTAAAAGTAAAATAAGGAAAAAATGGATTTATTTTTTTACAAAATTTACTTCTAGATACTATCTTATGATCATAAACAAGCTTCTGTCCAAGTTTGGTACAAACCAAGGATAGTTTAAGAAAGTTATTAAAATTTTAAAAACTTTAACCACAGAGTGAATGTAATATTTCCCGGCGTAAAAACTAAGTCCATTTATAAGTAAAATACGGAAAAAATGGAATTTTATTTTTACAAAATTTACTTCTGGATACTATCTTATGATCATAAACAAGCTTCTGTCCAAGTTTGGTAGAAATCCAGGATAGTTTAAGAAAGTTATTAAAATTTCAAAAACTTTAACCACAGAGTGAATATTTGTGGACGCCGCCGACGACAACGACGACGACGACGACGACGACGACGCCGACGGAATGTAGGATCGCTATGTCTCGCTTTTTCGACTAAAGTCGAAGGCTCGACAAAAAATCATTTTCTAATATTAAAAAATCATTTTTAATACTAAAATATCATTTTTTGATATTAAAAAATACCGAACTTTTTAATATTAGAAAACTATTTTTCAATATTAGAAAATGAATTCTTAATATTAGAAAAACATTTCTTAATATCAAAAATAGCTCTTTTTGTCCACTTTGACTTGTAATTTTCAATATTTACAGGGTTGAACCGTCTGAATGAAAAGTAGTACTTGGGTAAAAAATATTTTTCTCCCTTCTACTTTTAAGCGTCAAAATTAAGGGGAGATAGTTTCTATAGAATGCAATACGAAAAAGTTAGTTTTTTGCATTTTTCATAAAAATAAGTTCGGCGACTCCCTGTTTTTAATATTTCAATTTGTAAAGGATAACAAAAGTAGCATTTTTCACCAAATATTAACATATTCTGTCGACAATTTTTATTTCAATTCAAGAAACTGTGATTCTTCCCTATATATTCAATACAAAATAGGCCAACTTTGATCAGTGGTTTAAAAAAAAAACGAAGTCTGTGACCTTAGTATGTCTTTTTTTTTCTGAATACCGGTCCCATTGCATGGGTACTATCTTTAGAGAAAATTAGAAAAAAATCTGTCGTCAATTTCTTATACCCTCGAACTACCTTAAAAAAAGATGTCTTCAAGGAATGCCAATATTCAGAATACAACACATTTTAGGTGTTTCGATAGTAATTAATTACTTGATAACAGGTCAATTTCATAATTTTACAGTTAGAACTTAATAAATTGCACCTATTTAAATGTGTATTAAAATTACAACATATGTTCGACACATGGAAATTAATATTTAATGCTTTAAAAGATGAATGCGTGCAAAATATACGTCTATGTTTTTTCACATTTTTTATTAAAACATTATTCAAATCGCCTATGTTTATTTTAACTTGTTTTATATATTTTATCTAAAAATTATGTCCTTTTATCATTCAAACTAACTCTTTAGTTGGTATTCTTGTTATATTTTTTTATTCAGTTGGCCGAAATGTCAGAGAAAGAAACCTCCATTGGCCGAAATTTCCTAGGCAAATTAGTCCTGACCGAAACGTCAGTCCACCGAATTTAGAACCCTTAAAGGGTCTTATGACCTATGGTAGTTTTAAAGATCCACCTTGTGACCTGTGGAGGGGGGGTACCCTCCTAGGGTCCCATCCATATTTTGCTTTTTTTATGCCTGAACTCGTCTCCATTACCCAAATATGCCTTCATCATAATAAGCAGTACAATCTAAGTTTTTACTGAATAGTTCATTTTCCGGAATAGGGTCGCTATTCTACCCATTCAGTATCTGGATTAGACTACTTCCACTTTATCTGATTCAAGACTTTTACAACATCATTAGCATACACACGCAAAATATTAAATGAAGGCACACCACAATCACAACTCATATATTATATTCTTATGTTTTAGGTTGTTTTTTTAAACTTCCCTTGGTGTGTAAGGATATCTTATTATTATGGGTGCGTTTCATAGGGATATATGAGTTGTGGTGTGCCCTCAACAGGGGAAGATCCAAGAGGGGGCGTTAGGGGTGTAGAGTTGAAAAAAACCATGAAAAATACCCATGAAAAATACGTCATATTTTAGTTAAAATTGTGGAAAATACACAATTTTTCGACCTCGGTACGCTCGGCGTAAATACAATTAAGGATTTACGCCCCCACTTTGAGGCAATACTTTTTCTGTTAACCTGTTTTGTGCATATTTTTGCTGTTGTTAACGGTTCTTTTGCATCTAATTTTTACTGTTAACTGTTTTTTACTAAGTGAATTTAGCTGTTAACCAAATTTCTGGTTTCTGTTTACTGTTTTCTGTAAATTAAGTTTGTTGTTAACCTGTAACTGGACCCCTATTCTCCCTATTACCCTCCCTCTTTAATACTTTGCATGTGTATGCCAATGATTTTGTTAACTTGAAGTCTCGAATCAGACAGTGGAAGTAGATTTAATTTTGGTGGATTCTTAAATCCCAATTAAATATTTTGGCGGGTACTGAAATTGTTGCAGTTAAAAAGATGTAAAAATTGACAAACAAGTGTTTATTGTTGAATGGTTAGGTATTAGATACGTTGTATGAAAGAAAAATTATTTAAGAAAGACAAATTCGGTATATCTTTCATAAGACTGTGCCTATTTCATACCTTTCTTAGGGCTATCGGCTTTTTAGCCCGAATTTACAGAAACATTCCTCATGTCTCTGGCAAGTCTTGACATGGATGCCAGTATTGATTCAAGCTGCTCAACAGTTTCCTCATCTAATTCTTCTCTCCCATTTTCCAGTTTGGTTGAGGCATCTCTAACCAGGATTTCAACTTCTTCGAAATTATTTGATAAAGCTTCCCCGTCAATCCTTTGCAAAATCGGATTGATTTCATTCTTTCTTTCGGATATGTTTTTTATTCTTTGAAAACAGTAAGAAGTTATTGAAAAGAAAATAAACAAGTCAAAACTCTTTAGTGATGAAGATTTGTAACTCTGAAAGTTGATTCTTTTATATGATTTTTTAATATTAGAAAATGATTTTTTAATATTAAAAAATGAATTTTTAATATTAAAAAATCATTTATTAACATTAGAAAATGAATTTCGAATATAAGAACATACTTTCAAATTTCTAATATTAAAAAAAATGAATTTCTAAAATTTAAAAATGAATTTCTTATATCAATAAATGATTTTTTAATATTAGAAATTAATCTTTTAATATTAAAAAATGATTTCTAATATTGCAAATCGATTTTTTAATATTAAGAAAAAGTGGTTTTGTTTTTTAATATTAGAAATTAATTTTTTAATATTAGAAAATGAATTTCTTATATTAGAAAATGAATTTCTTATATTAGAAAATGAATTTCGTATATTAGAAAATGAATTTCTTATATTAGAAAATGAATTCTTGATAATAATAAATGATTTTTTAATATTAAGAAATAGCTCTTTTTGTTCACTTTGGCTTGCCATACACATTTACCTATTATGTAGGTTTAGTTTGACGAAACTATAAACAACTGTCATGCAAGTGGAAGGTTTAGCTAGCTATAAAACTAGGATTAACTAAAATGCCTTTACCAAGTTAGGAATATA